TGATTTAAATGCTTAACTTCCACTTTGATTTTCATTTCGAGCTTGATTTATTATGTGTTCATTTTCGCAATATTTGATTGATTTTAACATTGAACTATCATCACTCAAAATCAATTATTAGAAACAATATTAATCTTATTTGTTATGATCAAAACATTAAGGACGAAATCGACCATAGGTCAACATCACACACATCCACCATCACAGCAATCGCAAAACCAACACATCTCACCACCACTGCACCATATAATCGCCACGAAACCGTCTATCACAAAACCACTCAAAAATAAAAAATAAAAAAAGAAAGAAAGAAAAAGAAGAATAGATTTGTGCCGAGCGCAAAGGCGATGCACTATCGCGACGCCATAATGTGTCGTCGGAGTGAGCGCCTTAAGAGTCACCGAAGTAGCTTCAAATGAAGCAGCGGGGAGATGATATTTTTCAAAATGAATTAGGGTTTGTCGGGATGGGTAAGATGAATGTTGTAGATTAATTTAATTTAATATTATATTATTAATATTAAAAATTAAATTATGTTCTGATTTTTGAAATTGTAACTTATCTGGTTCCATGTAATTTCCACTTTCTATTCAATGGAATATTCTCACATATGGCTATGGATTGGATATGGACCGGATATGCTATATCTAATCCAATTCGATAAGAATAATTATCCAATCCGATCTAATAATCCAACAAATATTTGATTGTTAAATTCATATCTCATTTGCTATGTTATTGAATATCCGATCTGAAATTAAAGAAATGAGAGAAAAAAATCAATGTTGGCAATAAGGGAAAATTAGGCTCACTACTCTAAAAAAGAAACCAATTAAATTAATGCACTTAACATAAATTTAAACTTCTAATCACAGTAATTTAAACTTCCCAAAACCCACCCCATTCAATTACATACACACACAGACACAAAGACCCGGCTTCTCTCGCGATTTTTTCAAAATTTTCATCGACATCATCCCATTTTTCTCCAAATTTCGGTGGACTTTGAAGATTAATTATACCCCGACATCATTCATCTACGAATTCAAACTTCCATCCATAAAAATTTCAAGAAATCAAAGGTAAATTGGCTCAACTTTATGGGTTGCGAAAATTTTCTTCTTTGTCTTAAATTTTTGCTCATGGTTGGAATTTTTTGAGTTTTGTTGGGAGTATGAGCGTAGTTGATGTTGGTTTTGTGGATTGGTTGTGGAGTATTTGATTTTAGCATAGAATCATGAGAAAATTTTACTTATTTCAATTAATGTGCATATCAAGTTTTCGATCAATTGCTCCAAATGCATTATTTTGTGAATTATGCCATGATTTTTGTATGATACTTCACAACTTGTTTTCCATTTTCCATGTGGTGTGTTTGGCAGAGTACTTAAACGGGGAGGAAGATTTCTTTGCCTTGAACTAAGCCATGTGGAAATCCCAGTGTTCAAAGTATTGTCAACTACTGCTCTTTTTGATGAGCCAAACAAATGCTGTTGAATATCTTGTTTCTGTGGGAATTGAATTTGGGCTTCATTGTATCAACATAGTTGCATGAAGCAATAGTTTGGAGTCCTATAAACAGACAAAATTAATAATGTGTAGGTTATTTGTTAGTTGAAAATAACTGGTTGCTTAAGCTGTACTTTTTCTTTAATAATTCATTGATAACTCTAGTAAGAAGCTCCTCAAATATTACATATATAAACACACATTTTAGTTAGGCATGATAGCAATGAGAATTTAAATTCAACTCGATATGTGAATCAAATCATTAAACTAATAACACGCTTTTATAGATCCATATCTGTATCGAATTAAGTGTACTTTTTTCTTTAGTAATTCCTTGATAACTCTATTAAGAAGCTCCTTAAATACTACATATCTAAATACATATTTTAGTTAGGCATGATATCAATGAGAATTTAAATTCAACTCAATATGTGAATCAAATGATTAAACTAATAACACGTTTTTATAGATCCATTTCTGTATCGAATTAAGCCTTGTTGGTTATTATGCATTGATCTGTGTGTTCTTTCTTCTACATAATTTCCTTGTCTCTGTTCCGTCTGCATCTTTTTCCAGTTCTTTTATCTTCGACTCATTTTGTCATCTTGTGCATAGATAGCCGATGCTATAAAGAATTTTAGAAGGTTCAAGTTTGACCAACTTCATCGTCCAAAATTTAAACAAGACGTGCTTTGAACTACTGATATTATGTTTGAAAAACGAATGTTCAAAGCCTTGGTGGACAAGACTGCAGTATTTGGTCTTAATCAAGCATAAAATCTAATGTATCTATGGACATCTTTTTGTGATGAAATCTAATATTTGTTTTCCATTTAACGCCTCATGTCCTTGATTACTAACTAGCTATTTTTTTTTTTTAAGTTACGTCACTTTTTTTTAGTTTCGGTCACTTTTTATAGTGATTGTAACTATTTTATATTACTTTTTGGTCACTTTTTTTACTAAAAAAATCAATTTTTTTATAACAGTGAGATCGTGTCACACATTCACTTAATTTTATGCATTGCCATTTATGGATGTCAAAGTGTCTCGTTAATTTTATAAAAGTGACACTGTGTCACTTTTTAAAATTTTGTCACTTTTTTTAGTTTTTTTTGTCACCTTTTAAGTTTTTGTCACTTTTTAAGAAGATAAAAAAAATGAAATAATATGTAATATTTTCCTAACATAATCAGCATGTGGATTGATCTAGAAGTGCTGATTATTTTAAGAACATGATTACTGATACTGCACAAATGGATGGTGCTCTTTTGATATTTTTCACTTTTTTTAAATGTCACTTTTTTTGAGTTTGTATCACTCTTTGAAAGTGCGTGTCACCTTTTTTTTGTTGTCACTTTTTTTAAAAAAGTAAAAAAGTGACAATTTTTATAAAGAAAAGTGGCATTATATCACTTTTTCATTTTACATAATATTTTTTACTTTCTAAAAATTTTCATATGATTTTTCAAAATATTCCTAATTTTAAGGATATTTTCGTAAGTGCCCCTTAATTTAATCGGATTCGAATCAAAATCCAATCCATTGATAGCTCCAATTCCACATATTAAAGCGGTCAATTTACATATATGCCCTTGACATTATGATTGTAAATTTCACATAAAATGGTTGAGGGTACTTGTGTAAATTTCCAATTACAAAGTGAGGGTAAAATAGTCCTACAACTCAATGGCATTATCAATATTAACTCATTCTAAAAACTGCAGTGACATTTTATAATTTTAAATCTGCCATAGATAAATAAGATTTGGTCAAATAATTAGTTTAAAATGAGTTTCAAACGAGAACTAAATACATATTGAAAAATGAAAAATAAAATATTATTAAAATAATTAAATTAAAGTAGAGATAGAATTTTTCAAAAAAATAAATTCTATATTTAATATATTATAGATGTATGATTAAAAAATAAGAAAAAAATTTAAATTTACATATAATATTATTTTATTGAAAAATATGATTGAAAATAAAAAAAGAAAAATGTATTAAAATTCAAATAGAGCCCCCGAGTCGTCCATGAATCAGCGAGAAAAGTCGAAACCTACGAGCAACTCACCCTGATTGCCACCCCTAAGGGAATCTTCATTGTGAAAGTAACGGTACTTTATCGATTGGAACAAAGTGAATTGACCACTACTTGTGCAATTGCTAGTTTGGCAAAAATCAAAAGTGTGCGTTTCACAATCGAATTAAGTCAAATATTTTCACGGTGACTCATAGCCCATATCAAATTATGGAACAATTGCAACTTCATCAAGCTCTGATTATTTTTCAACTGCATGTAAAAATCCCATTTTAACTAAATTTTAAGAACTCGAAATCAGCTCCAGCAAAGAACAAGTAACATGAATGAAGTAATCAAGGATTCACAGTGAAGGCCCTAATGGCAATGCATTTCTCTATGCTTCCTAGCAATATGTAGCAATTCTTGGAAAAGAAAAACTGGGAAAGTATAGAGCCAGACACATATACTGGTCATGATATTTCCGAACTCAAAACTTTCTTGTTTAAGGTAAACTGAAAAGATAAATCCAGTATGCCAAAAACTGCTAGACTTGCTTAACTGAATCTTTCATTCATCTAGCTCATAGAGAAACGAATCTCCACGAATCATTTAAAATGTAATACCACAAAACTCAATCCTAGATAGAGTACATCATGAAACACGTAGGTTCAGCAGAAGAAAGCATGCACCAAAATGATAAATTCCTTTTGCACAAGTTGTCGAAATCAATGCCCGGGCATCCCATACATAACCACCTCTTCCATCTAGTTCTGAAATCAGTGAAGGGAATATGTAAGATAGCTGTCTTGAGACTTAACAAATGGAACAAGGCAAGACAACAAATGCACACCTCAGCTGCCTTGAGACTTGACATTTTGGCATAAGGCTCAGGACGTAAGCTTAAAACAAATGACACTAAGAATCTAAGCTTCGGGCCATTTAATAACTTCGATGTCTACAACTCAATTCATCCCATTACTACAAGTACGAATCCATTGAGCAAAAATGGGCTGTAATTGTATAAAGATCTCTGTGCTCCCAGGTTAGAATTTTTTTTATGCATTTCTCTCTATTTGGCCCACTTCAAACAAAATGAGAAAGGGTCTGCTTTTGATACTACAAGTAGAGAAAACGATTCCGGACCTGTTCTAAACAAGTTGTATTTCGAATCTGTTTGATCACGAGGATTAGTGTCCTCCCCGAATGAAATCCAATGGGATCCAGAAGAAATCTGATTCAATTAATAGTTGTGGAAAGTGGCGAAAGTTGCTTTAAGATGGGATAAGATGCTTAAGTTAACACTAATTCTGTACAACTTCTAACAGGATATCCAGTTTCAAGAACACAAACTCATAGAATTATAAATTAAAGACATGGAACGAAATTTATCTGCAATCAGTGAAAATTGAGTAAGAATATTTTTGTATAAACAAATGGTGCTATTTATCAAGAAATTTGACTTTATCTATGAAGCATTATCGCCAGTAATATTTGCATTTGTACACCACAAGGCAGAGGTCCTCACCGGCATGGAAGAACTACAACACACCTCCAGCCTATCCCGGAACCGAGCTTCCGATGATTTCAACATCGTTGGCAATGCTAAACACACACCCTTCTCGACGCACATTCTGTGCCTCGGCTTTATCCTATTCTCTAAGCTAAACGAAAAGTATTGGGGAAAGATTACCAATTCCTTCAATTCTCGTCCCATTTCAACTACAAAGTAATCGAATTTAGGCTCGAAATTCTCCTTAATACTGTAACAAAACAATGATGGGAACCTCCGAAACATGGTAATGGTATCCTTATAGGAAAATCCCAGCTTCTGCAAGTACTCAATCCGGGGGATGAACTTGGATTCCACTGAGCAGGACAAGAGTGGAGCACACTTGCTTACATCGTCAATGCCAATTGTACCTTGGAGGAAATACAACGTGGGCCGGAGTTGTCGGTCGACGCAGCATATAAGAAGGCGGGGACGGCGACGGATGACTTGGCGGAGGTCGATGGCGTCCACGTGGGCCTCCCGGAGAAGAAAAGTTGTGGCTGGAATAATTGTAGTAGATAAAGGGACAGTTAAAATTTCCGGGCACATGGGAAAAATGCGGCGGAGACTCAGTGTGGTCAGGCCCATGGAGAAAAGGAATTCCACAGTGGATTTCACTTGCAAAAGGGAAGTAGAATGGAGAGACGGATTTGCGTGTAGGCAGTATAAGGAGTCTATGCCAAGGGAGTCCAAGTAGAGGAGCTTATCTTGGATTTGAGAGGATTTGGTGGGAATTGGGGGGGAAGGGGGAGGGGAAATTGTGAGGGGGATTTCATTTTTGGGAGGAGGCGAGGGAAAATGGAGGTGTTTGGGACGGAAAATGGAAGGGGAATTGGGAATGGCAGCGGCGGCAGTGGTGGTGGAGGAGGAGGTGGCATAGAGGTGGAGAGTTTCTGGCATGGTTAGTACATGTTTAGGCGGAGACGGAGAAAAGAATTTTGCGGTGGAGATTTATTCAGTGGTGGAAAGAGATAAGGCGGTGGGTTTTCTGTTATCTGGAAATCCATCTCGAGGATAGAGGGAGAAGGATTCAGTTGGACCAATCTTGAAATACCCGTAAGGCCCAACCCATGTTTATTACAAAGGGAAAAATTCATATTTCAAATGTATGGTTTACACCAATTCAAAAGTCAGGTAGATAGTTTAACAATTCAAAACTCAGGTATTAAGTAATTAATTAAAAATAATTATTAATTAGATCACAATTATACAATTAATGGTCACATATACATAATTATATGTCACATATTATTAAATTAATTAGTTACTGATTATTTCAAGGTCACAAATTCAAAAAAATTATAGGTCACAATTAATTTCATTGGTCACATATTTTCAAATTTATTGGTCATAGATTATTTTTCAATCACATATTGTCAAATTTTTAGATTACAGTTAAATACTTGGTCACGGATAACCAAATACTTGATCACACATCACTAACACTACCACCTCAGTCACTTTTGACCACCCTCACCCCGTCGTCGCCATCACCACCACGGTCACCAACCAGATTCGAACCCACCATACACCACATCTGCACCACGCTGTCGCCACCCAACAAAAAAAATCACGTCACACCACAACCACCACCCAACAAAAAACCCCAAACTCATCACCGCCACCAGTCGCGACGTCACCACCACCACAACTCCACTCCGCCACAGCGCACACACCCATAGCACCCGTCGCGACGCTGTTGTGAAAGTGTCGCACGACAGCGTTACAGCAGCAAAGATCCACCACCCCAACAGGTGCTCCAAGCGGTGGTCTTGAAGGAGAAAATTTCAAATCTAGCTGCTGCGCTTCTGCCTCGATCGTTGCTGTGAATTCGACGATAGATTGTTGATGTGGGTGGTGGTCTTCGACGGTGGGTGGTCAACGGTAGGCGTTGGTCGATGGTAGGTGAGGGGAGATTTACCGAGAGAGAAAATGGGAGAGGGGAGGAGGTGCGAGAGAGAGAGAGAGAGAGAGGTGAGGGAGTTGAGAGTGATAAATTAGGGTTAGAATTTTAATATATTACTTGATTTTTGAATAATGAAACTTGGTCCCTGATTTTTGAATTCCAATCTTCAAACACTTGAACTTAGTTCGTCTCACTCGATAAGAACTTGAGCCAGTACTGTGCGAGGGTTGGACTCGAACCTAATGTATCGAAATAGATTTTAGTTCATAAATACATTTTGCGACTGGTCTTTTAGGATAAGTCGACCGTTAAAAGCAAAAACTCTTCTAGTGTTAGAAAAAAAAAGTATTATAGGCAGGGATTTGAGCGACTTTGTTGCTTTGTGATTTTGTATGTGCGATGCAAGCTATAATAGAAAATCAATCAAAATTTGACATAAAATTTGTCATTTTTGACAACAAAGTCACTTAAATACTCGTGACTCTTTTGACATGGATTCCAGTAGCACATTCTTTTTTCACCTTGATAATCTGCATCCCTCCGCCATTGTTGAAGAACTTGCCCTTTATCACTCTATTGATCGAAGACTTTATTCAAGATTGGTTCTAGATCTAGGTCGCGACCTTCATGAGTCCACACATGTCATGGCCTTTTGGATATGGCTGGAAAAAGAGGGCAACAACATGAATTTTGTTGGTAGAATTAGGGCCGGACAAAATTCCTGAATCAAAATGGTGTGTGCTGTCACAGACACCCAAAAATAATACTTTAATCTCTAAAACTAATGTAGTAGTGGAAGTAAAAGTCGATCCCACGAAGAGTGTGTAATTCAATATTTTATGCTTCGTACAATGATTGGGGGGTTTTTGTATGCAAACAATTGTAAATAACTTAATCAATAACGATGAAAATTAAATTAACGAAAACAATCAAAATAATAACATTGGTCTAAGTCCACATCCACCGTCGGAAATCTACAATTGATCACAGATGTAAGGATAATTCAATTCATATTTTAAATATTCACCGTTGTAATTATTTTCCTATCTCTCCTTAATTTTAGTTAATTAGAAACCAGCGTTCTAATTAACCTGAATTATTAAATAACTCCAAACCAGGGCTCAAGATTCAATATAATAACAGTTTTACACAATAGAGAAATCGATAAACTAAATAACACAAACACCAGCGGTTACATTAAATCTATTTAAACATTTTTCTTAAGATTTAATATCCTCTATCGCAAAAAATCGTCAAATCCTAATGCTTCACAAGTTAAAGGGATCAAACAATTACGGATTTGATATTTAATTTAACGGTAGATTGTAAGGAATAACAAACTAGTAGGCCTCCTAACAATTAAACATAACAATCATAGAAATAAGTGTAGAAAAATATTCAATACGCAAAATAAGAATTAAACAAT